CCTAAATGGATAGCTTTCCAAAGAGGAACAATTTAATTAAACCAGGGTCCGTCAGCGTCGCTGAGGACCCAGTCTCTACTTTCACAAAGCCTAGAGGGAATCAACTCAAACAATTCTAAACCAGGGCGGACAGAGCGACGCGCCAAATATAAACTGAGCTGCCGTGGGAAGGCACCTGGAAGGAAGGGCGAGGAAAGGCTTCCCAGGGATGCCATCTGGGAAGGCCCTTCCTAAGAACGGATGGAATGAGAGGGATCCCAGCCACCTCTCGGCTTCTTCCTGAGGTAAAGCCCTCGCTGCGGCCCTTACCCGGACCCGTACTCAGGGACAGCGAGCCCCCAAACTCAGGCCCGAGCTACAGGGGAGGCGGCGAGGCCGCCGGACTCACCGGCGGCGCTGAAGTCGAAGCCGGCGGGGACCGGCGAGTGTTCTGCGAGCTCCAGGCGGATGACAACCAGTGACACACTCATAGGGCAGGCGCTGGCCGGCGTGGGCCCCGGCGGGCTCAGGCGAGGCTGGGAGACGAGCCGAGAGGCCGAGAGGCCGAGAGGCCCGGGGCGGGCAGCGTGGCCACCGCCTCAGCAGCAGCAGCTTCTCGCGCAACCCTCGGAACCACAACAACCTCCACTTCCGCCTCCCGGCCGCCGTAGCTGACCCGGGAGGTTACGCAGGCGCGGAGCAACGCGGGCTCCGATTGGGTGCGGAGGAAACCACGTGACTGACGCGGAGGCGAGCTTGCGCCCCTTCGGACTGGGTACCAAGAGGTCGTGTAGGAGGCTCTCTACCGGGATCTTCCGCGCTGGGCCCCTCCTTAGGCGGATCGGTGGGTTTGCGCCCAGGCCCGACTTAATCTACCCGAGAGGCTTCGCCCTCAGCTCTGCTCTGCTGATGGCGAGGGGTGTCTGGTTCCGCAGGCTCTCCGAATTGTCCGAAGGACCCGCGCCCTGCGGATAGCGCTTACCTCTTGTCTTGTATGACCCCCTCGCTCTAGCTCAAGGCAGGGTTACTTGTGTCAGCTACACTTTACAGATAGCTGCGCTGAGGCTCCGAGAGGGGATTCCTCTGAGGGCCCAGGGGGAGTGGGGACTGTTGGGGTGGAGGGGGGTACATTGGCGAATATCATGTACATTTCTGTTCTTATGGAAATGACCTTGGTCACCAGTTGTGTGACCTTGAGCTAGGTTTTGCGTAGAATTGGGATAATGTCCTTAAGACAGCTCTAAGGATGAAATGAGCCTGTGGCTCTGTATATATCAGTTTTTCTGAGATTCAGCACTTCTTCCAGTATCTCAGATTGCCTTTAGTGTATAAACATGGAGAGCCACAATCAGTGCATATGTGTGACACGGTGGTGTTCTAGGTATATACTATCATGATATGTAAGCTGCGTCACAGCACATGCTGGACGTGCGTAGGTGTATGGACTATACATGCATCACACAACCATACGATATTTATAGCTTGTGACTGCACCCAGTGAAATAGTTTCAGTACACACTGTTTGTATCAGGGTTTCTCAGCCTCTGTACTATTAACATTTTGAGTCCCAATAATTCTTTGGGGGGTGTGTGTATGTCCTGCGCTTTATAGGATATTTAGCAATAACCCTGGCCTGACACACTAGATACAGGAAGCGCCTCCCAAGTGGTGACAACCAAAAATATCTCCAGACATTCCCAAATGTCCCCTTGGCGCCAAATCACCCCTGTTGGGAATCACTGATATATGAGAAAGTGCATATACAATATGCACATACTGTATACATATGAGACCTGGTGTGAACTTTTTTATAGTACATTACAGTAGTAGATAATATTTAGTGGTGTGCTAGCTACTAACGAGTGCTTTACATACTTTATCTCATGTAATGGTAACAACTTCATGAAACAGGTACTATGATTATTTCCATTTTACAGAGAAGGAACCTGAGACTCAGAGAGAGTAACTTGCTCAGGGTCTCACACTAAAGTGGCAGAGCTTTAGTATATGAATGCAGGCAGTCTGATTCCAGAGGCCACACTCACTTTCTACTAAACCATCTCCTTAGTATGTGACAATATACTATGTGTGCATACTTATGGAAGCATAATTTAAGTAGTAAGTCTACATTATTATACTAGTCTTATTCTGAGAGGGAGAGAGAAGACAGATATTCTTTATGGAACTAAAGGAAGGTGCCAGTTCCAGAGACCTAGAGTTATTCGCTAGAGATGAGCAAATTGGACTTGTTAAAGTTCTTAATAGCTTCCAACCACTATGCCTGTCCCCTGCTTTCATTTTCTGATTTATCCAGTTTATTCATCCTTCCAACTCAGTTTATACTGAGCACCTGCTATGTGTCTAGATACTGCTAGGTCCCAGGGGATGGACACACACACACACACCAGACACACAAAGATGAAATAAGATAGGCCTTTCCTTACAGAGCTTACAATTACAGGAGCAAGTAGACATGGATACATAACTATGATGGGGTAAGTGCTCTAGAGAAGAAACAATGAGAGTGGGGAAAAAAAAAAAAACTAGTTTCAGAGTCTTCCAGGAAAAAGAACAGTCTCTCTAGAGGAGGTAAAGCTAAGGCTGTGATGTTAAAGAAAGAATGGAAGTTTATGCCCAAATAAAGTGGGCAAAGGCTTTGCAGTCAGTGGGCAGGTACCACGGCCTATAGATACGAGGAATCACAGCATTATCCTGCTCTGAAGAGAGCCTTGGGAAGTGGCTAGGTCAGCGCCACCATCTCTAGTTGGAAGGAAGAAGCGAGCTAGTCGTGGGTGTGTTGCCCACTTAACCATTAGCAGGAGTACGAGGAAGGCAGTGTCTTCAGTGAGGATGAGACACTTCTCATCACTGTTAAGCCCTCACACAAACTGTTGACACTGTTAAGGGCCTATAAATAAATTTCTCCTTCCATCATTAACTTTGACCTTGGGGTAGGAACAGAAGTAAAACCCAAAATGCAAATCAACTTCTACTTTTTCCCTTTCAACATTCACTCCTCAATTCAGCAAATTTCTAATTACGTAAGAAACATATTATTATAATCTTGAATATTTACTTCTTAAGAATCCTTTCTTTTGAGTCTTACATCGTTTACGGTAGCACTTAAGTGACCATGAACCTGTAGGCTGTCTTAACCTGTTTTACTCTAATTTGCCTCTTCGGAAGCTTTTTAAAAAAATTATTAGGAAGAAATCACATAAGAAGCTTAAAGACTGACATGCAGAACTGACTGCAAATACAAGTTGCTTTAATCATTTTGTTTTTGTTTCCCCAGGTTTTTATTTCAGACCTATAGAAAAGTTGAAAGAATAGTATAGTGATCTCTCCTATACCCTACATCATATACCCTTCACCTGGATGGACTCATTACTAACACTTAGGAACATTTTGTCACATGTATATATACACGTGTATAGATTTATATGTTTACATACATGGATGTGAGTTGTGTGTGTATGATTTTTCATCCCTGAACTTTTTGAAAGTAAATTTAGAAAAGAGGCAATGGAGACCAGTCAGGAGGACACTGCCCTGCTCTGTAGGGGGGATGATGGTGTGTTGGCATCGTGAGTGCTAGGAGGTAAGTACAGGGCATCTTGGGAGGGTACAGGGGAGACTGCTCATCTGTCTTTTCCGGTTGCCAGAAGGTCTCACAGAGGAAGTGAGAGGTAAACTACAACCTAAGGGCAATCTGGAATTAGCCAGGTAACAGATGGAAGGGCGCATTCCAGGCCGAGGAATCAGCATACGCGAGGGCTTGGAAGCCAGAGGACAGTATCATGTATTTGAGGAAGCTGCAGGTGATGTGTGTGTCCAGGTCATCCAGGTTAAGGTGAAATACGAGGGAGTTGCTGCCAAAAGGGAAGAGGCCAATCTCAGGGGGCCTTTTCAGGCGGGTTAAGAAACTGAGTTTACCTTGACCTTCAATGGGGAGGCATTGAAAGTTAAAGGGGGTTAGGATGTGATCAGATTTGCAGTTTTGAAAGATAACTGAAGAGTGAAGAAGGAATGAGGTTGAGAAGTGGCCTGGGGACCAGTTGGGAGGCTGCTGAAAAACGTTCTGTGGGTGAGCTAACGGCAGTGAGAGTGCAGAGAGGTAGAAGGAGAGCTTCTGGAGGAGGGACTGGCAGCACAGTGCACCCAGAGTGCAGGGGTCTGGTTGGCGGACTGAGGGAAGCCAGGTGAACCCAGTTTTCTAGCTTGGGCAGCTAGGAGACTGGTGGACTCCTGATCTAAGGAACTTAGGAAACGGGTGGTCAAGGAGGGCAGAGATACTGAGTTTGAAACAGAGCAGGACCCTGTGGGGTCCTTCCTGATACAAGTCCTTTCCATGTCCCCCGTTTTTTGTTTGTAAGAAATAGGTTTCATTCAGCCTCTTTAAACTCCTTTCCTGAGTTTCAAAGGGCAGATCTAAACAGCTCCCTTAGGGAAGGGAGAGAATGCAGAGACAGGGAGGAACAATCAAGAAACAACAGTGCAGCCTTGGGGCAGGGTCCTGGTTCCTCCTCAAAGAATATATATGTGTGTGTGTGTGTGTGTCTATATAAAACATATATATCTTTGAGTTCTTCTTCAGGAACCAGGTGGAGGGTGGCAGCGTCAGGCTGAGCACAGGACTCCTGGAGCACCACCCTGTTACCTCTCCACCAGCCAATCAGAAGAAAGTCACTCACCCCAAATTTTGCCTATGGATACTATTCCCCTCCAAATCACTTGGGAGTTCAGGTTTTTCTGACCTTGACCTGCCTGTGCTCTTTGCTTGGCCCTGCAATAAACCTCTCTCTGCTCCAGACCCCTACATTTCAGTTTGGCCTCACAGTGCGTCAGGTACATGAACTTTTGTTCGGTAACAAGTTCAGTTCTGGTCGTGGTCTGAAGCGCTGGTTGGAGGTTAGTGGAGATGGCCAGGTGGTACCCTGAGCATCAGGGCGGATGTCTGGACTTGGGGCAGTGGAGCACCCTGTGCCCTGTGCCTTCTTTTCCACAGCCTCGGCCTCAGCATGTGCATAAGGCAGCTTTTCCAGTCCTCGCAGCTCCAGCGGGCTTGGAAGGCAGCCTTCCTGAAACACAGCCAGCGCAGGCACCATGGAGCTCGGCGATGGACACATTCTGGAAGCGGCACGTACAGAGCGGTGATTTTTGACATGGGTGGAGTTCTCATTCCTTCTCCAGGGAGAGTGGCTTCAGGTGAGCACGTCATTTTGTTTTCGCTTTTGGAGACCCGGGTAGGGGTGGGTGGTGGGAGGACACAGAGAGGAACATTTGAGCAGCAGTGTAGTCCCAATGGGTACTGTTCCTGCTCTTGAATCAAATTCCAGGCAACACTAAGTGGCTGAGTATCTTGGGCAAATTATTCAACTTCTCTGAGTCTTAGTTTCCTCATCATTAAATTAGAGCTATTGACAGCACCTACCTCTTTGGGGTTTGGGGAGGGTTAAATGAGATTATCTAGAGAAAGCACTTGAAGAGCAAAGCGAGTTCTTGGCTCATCTTAAATTCTCAATTACTTATGAGCTGCCACTGTTATTGCTGTTACTGTTACTGGTAGAGTTTAACTACCTATCCCTGAGAACTACTTCTGAATGCTGAAATCCTGCTTTGATCACAACCTTCTTTCTTCCATCCACCTCCCCTAAACCTGCTTTTGGACCTACAAGATCAAACCTCTAGTCTCTGATCCTTTCTTTGTCAGCCCCTCTTAACGAGAGTGACTGAAGAAGATAGAAGTTTATTTCTCTTTTATATGAAAACTAGGTCTGTGGTCTGGGGCTAGTATGTTGCTGTGTGATATCAGGGCCTTGGGTTCTTTGTTTTGTGTTGCTCCGCTGTGAGTACCTCATGGGTCTCTGTTGGTTGCTTCACCTCCTGCCATCACATTGTCATTCCAGCCAGCAGGAAAGGGAAAAGACCAAACAGCTATCCCTGTCCTTTTGACCTATACTGGTGGCTGGTTGGACAGTTTTCCAGGCTAAAAACACCCAAGTTCAGGTTTTCTGTGATCCTGGGTGAAAAATTATCCAGCTATGCAAACCAGCTAGGTGAGCTTTTTTTTAAGCTCCAATTGTAGTGTCGCCCTCAGCCTCTCTATTCCTCTACTTTCATTCCTCTCGTATTTACCACAGGACTGTTCCAAACTCCCCCAGGAATCATACTATCCCACCCCAAACCTTCATACTTGGCAGACAGCTCAATCTCCTCTTTCACAGAGAACATAAAGATCACTGGGCGGGAATTTTCTTGACTTCCTCCAGAATATCTATTCTCCACTGCCACTGCCTCTACCTGAGTTTAGATCTCTATCTTGTTCCACCTGTGAAATCCTATCAGCCACCTAATTTCCTATCTCTCCTGTGGGGCTCTTAGAACCTAGGACCCCAGGTCTGGGATATAGTCACATCACCTTTCCAGTTTCAGCTCAGAGCTGGCTCAGAAAACATCTGTCAGATGGAAAATGAACAAAGTGGTAATACCTTCTACTTTCTCCTTGTTTTTCCTTGACTGGAACTCCTAACGTCATTTATTTAAAGTGACCTATGCAAAGGGTCACTTAATAAGCAAACACTAGCATTATGATCACTTCAAATACCTTACTTAATATTTTTTTTCACATTTAAGCCAGAGAGCGCTCAGTTGGTTACAGCCTGTGGGCCAAATCTGGCTCGTTGTATGGTTTTGTATAGCTCAGCAGCCAAGTATGGTTTTTATGTTTTGAAATAGTTACAAAATGTCAAAACAAGAATAATATTTTGTGGTGTGTGGAAATTATGCAAAATTCCAATTTCAGTGTCCATAAAAATGAAGTTTTTTTGGAACACAGCCATGCCCATTCATTTACATACTGTCCATTTGTGGCCCTTTTCAGAAAGTTTGCCAGGCTCTGATTTAAGCTACTGGTTTACTATAAATTTAGTATGCACATGACAAAAAATTCAGAGCACAGCTCAAACACTTTGTCATTGTATTCAGGGAAAATAATATGATCAGACTGTTTAATTTTTGTCAGTGTGATGGCTGAAGAAGCTGTCTCTTGGTTTTTTTCCTCTGTTTGTTATTTTAATATTCAGGTTGAGCTTTTTTTCATACGTTAATTAGTCATTCAGTTTTCCCTTCCTGTGAATTGCTCATTTTTTGTTGTTGTTTTGCAATAATAACCTTTTTTGTCTGTTACATAATTTGCAAATATTTCTCCATTCTGGGGCTTCCCTTTTATTTTATTGATGATGTTTTTGCTATACCACAGTTTTCATTTTTGATGTCAGCAAAATCATCATAAAAAGTGTTTTTCTTTGTAACTCTTGGCTAAGAAAGTCAAGTTCATAAAGATGTTCTGTGTTGTTTTTAAGTTTTAGAGTTCTGTGTTTCTGATTTGGGTATTTAATGTGTTGGGAATTTATTCCTGTGATGATGTGTGAAACAGGGATTTAATTTGATTTTTTCCCATTTTGAAACTCAGGCCTGTCTCAGTTATTGAACAGTCAGTGCTAAAAGAATTCTCAGAATTCCCAATAGAACCCACCTGGGACCACAGTGATGCCACAGGAACTGGCATGGTAACTCCCCTGGTCCCCAAACCCCAGCCATTTGTCCATCTGTTATTTCACTTACCGAGTGTTTTACTTCCAATAGAATGGGAGGTACAAAATCAAATCCCTTCCGGAACTATATTGAAGGCCTTCATCTCAGGTGGTGAGAATGGGCCCTGGATGAAATTTATGAGAGCAGAGATAACAACAGAGGATTTCTTACAAGCATTTGGGAGACTTTGCTCTGAAATTGTAAGTGATAAACATACTTGAATTTCCATATTCTTTTTGCCTAGAATAGTGGATGCAACACTCATCCATTAAGTTGCTTAAACCACAAGTAAAGAAGGAAAAACCTAATAACCCATTATAAGTTTTTAAGCTATTTCTTCCATCCCCAGGTACTCCTCTCTAACTACATGAATAAAAAAATGCTACTTACTAGGCCTTGCATCAGCTGTTGTTCATCTGAAACTAGAGTTGTCACACAATGGCTTTGATCAGAAAGCTTGTTTAAAACAGTGATGGTATCCAGCCTTTTCTCCATACTATGCATTGTACTAAGCTCTTTATTTATATTAACTCACATAACCTTCACAATAACCCTGGTAAAATAGAATTTTAAATATAGTAAAGAAAGTTCTATGGCTGGATGGTGGCGATAGTTACACAAAAATGAATGTGCTTAATGCCATTCAACTGTACTTAAGTGGTTAAAATAGTAAATTTTATGTTATGTGTATTTTACCACAATTTAAAAATAAGTAAATAAGTAATTATATTTATATTTCAACATACATATATATATATATTGAAAACATTATGCTAAGTGAAAGAAGAGCCAGTCCCAAAAGACCACATATCGTATGATTCCATTTATATGAACTATCTAGAACAGGTAAATCTATAGAAACAGAAAGTAGAATTGGGATTGCCTAGGACTAGGAGTATTGAGGGTTGGTGGGGGACTGGGTAGTGACTGCTCTTGGGTACAGGGTTTCATTTTAGGGTGATGAAAATATTCTAAATTTACTGTAGTGATGGTTAGACAACTTTGTGAATGTATTAAAAAACCATTGTACAGTCTAAATGGGTGAATCTTATGGTGTATGAATTGTATTTCGATAAAGCTGTTGTTAAGTGTGTGTGTGTGTGTGTGTGTGTGTGTAAGTAAAATAGCAGACTTGCCTTTGCAGATTTTGGACATGATAAAATAAGAGTTTTCAAAACCAACACAGATTGAATTTAAAAACACAAAAACTGATCAGAAACTAAAAGTTCAGTTCACAGTGGTGATGCTGAGGCAATACAAAATCATTAAATGTCTTCCGGATCATTAAAAATTAAATTACATCTGCTTAATACACATTTAGAGTTTAATGCATCCTCTCACAGTATTGATACTTTAAAAACTGACAGTAGGTGAGCGACATAAAGAACTCACTTAACTGGAATACTAATATAAATGGCTGCATTCCCTCACTATTGTAACCCTAATTCCAAGTCCCTTTTTACAGCCTTATATGCAGAGGTCTGCTCAAGGGCCGAGGGACACAGTATCCTTTAGGCAGCCAGCCAAAGGCCTGGTCTCTTATGACCAAGTCGTGGTAGGAAGCCAGGAATATGTATTTTTCTCTGTTGGTCATAAGCTGTTCTCACTCTTAATGATTGCTGGTCTCCTTTCCCCTCCCCCATTCTTAGTCAAGGACCTCCGTGCCTGTGGATTCCTTTTTCTCTCTGCTGACCAGTGAGCGAGTGGCGAAGCAGTTCCCAGTGATGACTGAGGCCATAACTCAAATTCGAGCAAGAGGCCTTCAGACTGCAGTCCTGAGCAATAACTTTTATCTTCCCGATGGGAAAAGCTTTTTGCCCCTGGACCGGAAACAGTTTGATGTGGTAAGCTCGAAGTGATCCAGAACAATCAGAATCAAATCTCTGTCTTTGCTTCAAGATGCAGCATTAAAATACACTGAGCTCTTAGCAAGGTCAGACATTTATGGGATTTGGTAACTGGTTGAAACCTCCCCTTTAGAGACTCCCTTACATTCTGGATTTGAACCTTAGTCATAAGCTAGCACATGCACTTCTGTCAGCCCTCACATGCTAATGGGTCCTTGGACCTTTGCTCTTCAAAGACCAACCATGTGGCCTTCTATTTCTGTGGCATTAATCCTTTGACCAGCACTGTTCACAAAAACTTACTGGAGCAATGGAAATACCCAGTATGGTTGCTACTAGTCACATATAGCTATTAAGCACTTGAAATGTAGGTAGTGTCACTGAGGAACTGTTTTTATTTTATCTTAATTAACTGAAATGTAAATAAATAATCACATGGCCAGTGGCCACTGAATGGGACAGAGCATGAAGGGCTAGACGTCAGAGTACCTGAGAAGATACTGTGTCAGGAGGTGGCCTTCTGTGCCAGAAGGTTGCTTCGGCGAGAGTCCCCAGTTCCCTAGGAGAATATAGAACGTTATCCTGGGATGGATATGAACTATTGATAAATGACTTGCTGAAGCTTCATTCAGTCAGGAAACCAGATTCTTACTGAGCAGTTACTGAGTGCTGGGCACGGGCCAGGTGTGAAGGGACCCCGTGTTCAGCGTGACAGGCACAAACCCGGCCCTCTGGAATACACACATTTCAAGTGCTCAGTTGCTACATGTGGTTAGTGGCTACTATATTAGTCAGGGGAGATACAGTGTTTCCGTCATTGTAGAAAGTTCTATTGGATACTGCTATTTTAGAACATAAAATCTAGTCCAGTTGACAAGCAGAAATTCAGAACACAAAGGTTGGAAATTAACCTCCCGACCTAATGCTGTTTTCACTTTCCACCTCCTCTGTCCTCCTCCTCCTCCTCGTAGAAAGCCTGTCAGAGACAGAGTTCGCCCCGCTTCCCACCCCCAGCACAGCCCTCCTCCAAGCATCCTTCTCTGGAGTGATCAGGGACCTCTGCAGGTTTGAATCCCGTCTATACAGCTTGCTATGGGTGGTGGCTTTGAGTCCCTGAACCTCAGTTTCTTCAGGAATAGCAGTTTCTTTGTTTAGGGTTGCTGTGCAGATCCCAGAGAATACTGCATGCAAAGCACTTTGCATAGTGCCTGGCACACAGTTTAAGTATTCAGTACATTGTGATTATTTTCCAAATTTCCTTCCATCTGGTGTGGCTGTCAGGATAATCTTCATCTGGACAAATTAAGTTGCCCAGGCTCACAACTGCGCCTGTCAACTATTTAGAAGACCTGTAAACTTCCTTAAAACAATGGACTAGTTCATTCAGACTTCACAGGCTCTCTGACATGTGCTTTTCAACAGCTTTTCTTTTCTTTTTTTTAATATTTTTATTGAAGTATAGTCAGTTTACAATGTTGTCAACCAACAGCTTTTCTGATGAGTTTTCATAATAGGGCTGCAGGAGACCTGGAGTTTTCAAAATCCATTTTCTCAAGATCATAGTTAATGTTTTTGTTCTCTGAAGCTATAAGGTGGAAAATTAAAAAAAAAATTGAAAAGTAAACAGCTAGTGTAACCACTCCTGTGATCTCCATCATCACTGGAGGCTTTTCCTAAATCTCCAATAATATATTGTAGGACTCCATCTCTGCTGAGCTGTATATGACGTTCAAAACGCTCTTCATCTGTTTTCTTTGAATTAAAAAAATTTTTTTACATATTTTTTATTGTAAAAGAACACATCAGATAAGCTTTACCATCCTAACCATTTTTACATGTACAGTTCAGTAGTGTTCAGTGTATTCACATTGTTGTAAAACACATCACCACAACTTTTGTATGTTGCAAAATAGAATAGAAAGAGGCCAGGGCTCTTATCCAACTGAAATCTCAAGAATGTTTTCACTTTCCCAAGATGTAATCACCTGTGAGAGGAGCCGTCTGCTTGTCGGACTTGGCCCCCTGCCCTGGGCTTGCTCCCCACCCCCATCTCTGGTCTCAGCAGGGCTAGCTGTGCTGGTTTCCTGCCCCTTCATCTGCTGATTAGCATCTGAAATACCTGGCTTCTCTGCTGCCCACCTTTGAGGTTTTCTTTAGAAGGTGCTTCTTTGTCTTCCTTTAGCTCATTCAGGTCCTTAGGGGACCAGGAAGAGAGAGGTAGAGAGGTCCAGTTTATTCAGGACATTCATGTACCTGTAAGGGCAGTTCTCCAGCCTTGAATGATGGGAATTTCGGGGTCCTCAGGTTGGGCCTTGGTCTTGGAGAGCGAGGGTCATTTCAGGAGTGAGTGAGGGATTTCGTTCTGTTCTTAGGGTGGACCAGAGGGTATTGGATCAGAGGGCCTCTGTGGCTGTTTTAGGCCCACTTTGCTAGAGATCAAGGCCTTGGGGACAGTGTAAGAGGACTTCTGGGGGTTGTTGGATCAGAGGTAGCCTGACACCAAGATGGCTTTTTCAGGGCTCTCTTTGAGCCGTCAGCAGCCCCCCAGTTCCACATCAGATGCACATTGAAGCAAGGCTGTCAGGATACAGGAGGCTCCCTGCATGAAAGGAACCTTGTCTTTGCCACCTCTTTGGTGTCAGCCCTCCTGTGGGAATTATCTGTCTAGGTTGAGTGTGGCTGTTTGTTTTTTAACTTCTGAGATACAGACTTTAAAGTCATGTCTTTTTTGTAACAGTTAACAGTGTATTTTTTCTGAAAAAAAAATATAAAATAATTTCCCTGAAGCAGAAACATACAGCTTTCCTTCTGCTCCGTATAAGCCACGTGACCTTACATGAGCAAAGTGCTTTGTCATTCTGGAACACGTTCAAGTTTCATTAGGTTTCACAGCAACTATTCAGGTAGGTAAGACGGTCATTAGTGTTGCCATTCGATCGATGAGGAATTGAAGCCCATCATGGCTTAGTTAATAAGGTCACTGTGTCTGAACCAGGACTTTGGTTTTCTGAGTCTTCCCTCAGGTTGCAGCCCAATACTTCCAAATCACCCCACTTAAAAAAAACACCATTTTATAGCATATCACTCTTGAGTTACTTGTTATGACAAATCTCAACTGTCCTCCTCCTGCTCTTCTTTTCAAAAAAATATACCACTGCCCATGCGGGAGCACCACTTTTAGGGGCCCCCATCTCTCCTTCCTGTCCCTCGCTCAGGTCGTGGAATCCTGCCTGGAAGGTGTCTGCAAGCCGGACCCCAGGATATACAAGCTGTGCTTGGAGCGGCTTGGCCTGCAGCCTTCTGAGTCCATCTTTCTTGACGACCTTGGACAGAATCTAAAAGCAGCTGCCAGCCTTGGTATTCACACCATTAAGGTATGGTCACTATTCTTTGAAACCCTACTGTGCGCCAGGCACTAGTGTAAGCATTTCTATGAAGTCCTCTTACACTCATAGTTGGAATTGCCTTTAGTGGTTTTTGCCCATGCTGCCCTGGTCTTTTTGTTTTTATTAATTATGAAATCTAGGTGACTAGCTGCTTGTATCTTTAATAGGGAGTAAGACAAACAGTACTAGGAAGGCAGTTTGAGAAAAGAGTTACACAGGAGGTAATTGTAGACATTGGGCTGACAGACTGGCCTGGTGACGCTGTTCTAGGTGGGGAGCCAGTAGCTACCAGCCACAGGGGCCACCCCAGGTCATGGCTTTGAAGCAGGAGAAGCCACATTAGAGGTGGCTTCCATCTAGCTTAATAAGTCTGGGTTTTCATTATGAAGCTGACAGGCCCGCAGGGACAGAGTGGATGCTACTATGTAATATTCCCTCCTGGCGTGAGGGAGTATGATGGACTTTTAACCAGCGCTCTTCCCAGCAGGTAAGAAAGTTTAATGTGGTTAGGAATTAAATGGGAGGAGGGAACTCGTTCTGCAGCTTCCTCAGCAGCTGATTCTCCTAGCTCCACAGTCCTTTGTCAGAGAACTGACTTTTTGAATATTTGTCTAAAATATGACCCTCTTAGAGAACAGGCAAGAGGAGAGGTCAGGGTTGACTGGTGGTCCATGTTCAGTGTTCTCTTTGAAACCAGGTTAATGACCCAGAGACTGCGGTAAAGGAACTGGAAACTCTTCTGGGTTTTATGCTGAGAAAGGTTGTTCCAAACACTCGCCCTGTGAGAAGGACAATGGAAATTCCAAAAGACTCCCTGGAGAAGTACCTCAGAGACTTACTGGGGACCCAAACCACAGGTATTTAAGTGTCTGAAGTTTGGTAAAGGCTGGGCTTTCAGTCGGGCTCTCACTTTCGGTCCCTCTGAGACAAAGATGCCACGGGGTGAAGAAAACAGCCACTGGGCCCAGCGGATCTGAGAGCTTCTCTCAGTTCTGCATGGGAAAAAGCATTAACCTCCTTTTTTATGGGTCCTGGAAAGTGTACTTGGCCCTTCTTCCACCTGAGAGTGCAGTGTGGTGGCTGTCACCTGCAAAGGGCTGTCACGGAGGAGTGGCACTTGGAGACTGCAGCGTGTGTCTGGGGCATTGGAGTGGTTCCAATTTTTTGAGATGATAGCTTGTTTTGTGAAGGTGACTTCAGCGCTGCACGAATTCAAAGTGTTAAGTTGTCTCCATCTCTTCAGAATTCCTTCTCTCATTCTCCACATTCCACCTTCAGAATAACAGGTGCTTCACGAGCTTTTGACGAAATTTCTATCTGGTGATAAAAGGTTGGCCTCATCTATTTGATCCCTGAAAAAGGCTTTTTGTGTGCAGCTTCATGTGAGAATGTTTTCCAGTGATCAGACTGTGCTTAGAGCCTCTTCAGATCTGAGGGGCCCTTTGTGACCACACCACTAACTCAGGCAAACTCCCTTGTCCTGCTCTTCTGACCAACTGAAATGAATCTGTGTGTAGAGTTCAGTCTAGTTGTGAAGCCGAGGGTTATCTAGGCTGTTTCTGCAAGGAAGCCGCAAGGGTTCAGCCTGCTGGGGTGGGAAGTCGCATCTCCTGAGCTGCAGGCCTCTGCTTAGCTCTTTCCAGCTGTCACACCAGCATTGGGCGTGGTGTGGCCGAGTATGGGCTGAGGGACGCACAAGGGCATTTTTCATCCTCGGATTGAAGCATTCTATTTAGCCAGATGGGTTGCCATGACTGCGCTTGAGGTTGATAAACAGAACTAAAAAGCTTTTCTTCATGGAGCAGGAGTTGGCAAGAAGGACAAAATTGGACACCGGCACAAAGTGAAAATTGTGGTGTGAATCCAGTGAACTTTGCCACACTATAGTGTGACAGGGTATACCTGAGAGCCAGTCACATCTGGTACACAGGGAGGAGGTGCTTTCCTTATAGTGCATCCCAGATCAGGAGGCTCTGCATCCCAAATGCAGCACTCATTCGAAGAATGTCTGTTCAGATCTGTCCTCCAGAGCTGGTTTGAGTCTTCCTCGTTTTCAAACTTGCAGGCCCATTGGAACTCCTCCAGTTTGATCACGGGCAGTCAAATCCAACCTACTATGTCAAGCTGGCTAACCACCAACTGGTTCTGAGGAAGAAACCCCCGGGGACGCTCCTTCCATCTGCCCATGCAATTGAGAGGGAGTTCAGGTAAATTCTTAGAGCCCAGGGCCTGCTGGCCCCACCTAACCTCTGCAGCTCAGCCCCTGAGCTAAGTCAGCCCTCCATTAAAGTGCCGTGAGACATTTAAAACTACAAGTATGACTCTCCAAAATTATTTCAAATAAGATCATGCCCCCTAATCTTATTCAGGAATTTGTTTTCTCTCTTCTCTACCTGAAGAGATGTTCTGATAGTAATACCTAGACCTTTTTTGGGGAAACAGCTGTCCCTTAGTGTAGGTCCACGTGGTTTGGATGAGACTGACCTAACTGTGATTCCAGGGATGGGTACAAGACCCAGTTTGACCAATCTGAACAATGCATCCTCTCAATCACAGTGATGCGTTCAGGAACAAACCTAAAACCCATATTGGGTCAAGTAGTCCATCTCAAGGGGTATGTTGGCAAGTTCACTGGGGTTATCAAGGAAAGATATGCTGAGAGATGGAGAGAGAGAGAGAGAATGAATAGGTCCTGGTGACATTATTTGGGCCTCTGAAAACATGACCATGGTAAACATTTTGATGTGTTCCTTTCCAATATTTTTGTTTCAACGCGTACGCCTTTTAAAAAAGTACATAGTTAATATATCACTCTGTATAGTTGGTTAAGTAGTATATAGTTTACTATGTATCGTTTCATTAAAATTTTATCATGCACATTTTCATTTTATGATCGGCATCGTTTTATTGGCTGTAGTAATAGCATAATCATTAAGACAGGGCTGTGGAATCCTACTGTCCTTGGGTGTGAAGCCAGACTCCATCACTCACATACTAGTTGTGTGTCACTGGGCAATGGGAATCCTAATAGTAACATAACACAAAACTGTGAGAATGCTTTGAATTAATGATACATTCAAAGCATTTATTAGAGTGCGTAACACACACTAAACACTCAGAAAATGTTAGCTCTTACTATTATTGTTACTGTTGCAACAAGTAATTATATGAAGATTTGCTTAATAATTTCAAAATCACTGTATCTTTTGGGTGCTTCCAGTTTTTTATTATAAGTAACACTGGTGAGCAAATTAATACATAAAGATTTTTCCCTATTTAGAATTTTTTTTAGAGTTCCATTTTAATTTCTGCATGTACTAATTTTAAATCAGAAAAATAATTTAAAAATTAAAAAAATTTTTAATTTTGGGGGGTAATTAGGTTTTATATGTTTATTTATTTGTTTGTTTGTTTGTTTATATGGAGGTAGTGGAGATTGAACTCTACCACTGAGCTATACCCTCCTCATCAAGAAAAATAATTTTGAGAACATCTCATCACTTCAGCCAGCAATGTTGTTCATTTTCCTTTGTTCTGGCAGGGTAATGAAAGCCCTTGCGAATGCTGGAGTCCCTGTGCCCAAAGTTCTTGACCTCTGTGAAGATTCAAGGTAATGTATAGATTTATTTTTTTTCCATTGCATATTTAAGCTACAGAAGAGGAAAGCCCATATACTAACTCCAGCTCTGGTTTGCTAGAGTAAAGACAAATAAAATTTGGGTAGAAGAGAAAAGAGATTTTATATCAATCTCCCTTAGAAGTTCACAGGTCTTTATCCTGAAAGATAAATGACTGCTTTTATGAGAATTGGCAAAAAAAATCTTTTTTTAACATTAAAAAAAATATCCATGTAGTTTCATGTTGCTTATTTTTGTTAATTTTTTTATTATGGATTTTCTGAACTGTTTTTGAATTGCTTTGTAATATGCTTTTTGTGTCTGTGTCTTTTTTCCTAATGCTTTAATTACAAAATATTTGAAACACAGAGAAACTGAAAGAAGAAAACATAGTATAGTGAGCACTCACACTTCATCTAGATGAAAACATTGTTAACATTTTGTCACATTTGGCTTCTATATATATGTATGTGTATATATGTGTATGTGTGTATTATATATATTAAATAATTTTATAGAAATAGTAATAGTCATATAATAGGATAATTTTATAAAGTAATATCTATTTTATAATGTAATTAACTAAATTTCATTAAATAATTATATAATAATTTTATACATAAATATTTTTTACATATGTGTATAAATTATTTTTGAACCTTTTGAAGTGTCAGGCAGCATACATCTAAGAATAAAGACATTTTCTTTCATAACCACAGCAGCATTATTACCCTTAAGATAATTATTAATAATTTAATAATATATTATCAATCCCATCTTCAAGTCAAGATAAATAATTATAATGGTAAAATTTTTAAAATAACTTTTTAGAGAAGTAAACTGATTTCTAATGACTGAAAGGTGGATTAATTAAATTTTGTGGTGTAACCTTAATACTTCACGGTGGTCTATATGCCATTCATACTATTGGATGCTGATGTAAATAAATAACATCAATAAGAAGAAGGGATATTTATCATTGGAGCCAAATACTCCCTATATATTTGCTCCCTTAATTCTCACAAGTGCGCTTTGAAGCTTTACAGATTAAGAAAAACAAAGCTCAGAGAGGCTTAGGAAGTCTCTCAGGATCACACTGCCAGGAAGGGGCAGAGGTAGGTTATAACCTGGTTCTGTATGACTCCAAACACCCCTCTCAACATGCTGCTGCTTTCCTATATTATCACACTTAATCCCATGCCAGTTTCTACAAGTGGACGGAAGAGAAGAGAGGCATGCTGGCAAGGAAGTGCAAACTGGGCTGTGTGTGTGGATTGGTTTGGGGAAGGAGTGCTGCTAAGCCCCTGTGCTTATGTACAAAGGAAAAAGGGAGTTTGCAGTACTTTGGGCCTGAACTCCTACCCAGCACTCAAAGCATACACACAGGACAGAAAGTGCCGTGACTAACAGCCTGCTACGTCACCAGCCACTGAAGCACCCTGTCGGTGTCCCTCCCAGGGTCATCGGCACCCCCTTCTATCTGATGGAGTACTGCCCAGGCGTCATCTACAAAGACCCCTCTCTGCCTGGCTTGGAGCCCAGCCAGAGGCGGGCCATCTACACTGCCATGAACAGAGTCTTGTGCAACATTCATAGTGTGGACGTCAAGGCCGCGGGCCTGGAGGACTATGGGAAACACGGTGAGCATGAGCCCGCTTACCTGTCGCGCTGCTGTTTCCTCTGGTGCCTGTGCTTCGGGATTTGCATCACGTCAGAGGTCGACACGCCAACAGTTTGCTAAACGGGAGGTGGGCTTGTTAGTTTCCTTCTTGGAAATCCAGTTTCATTAAAATGAAGGTGTCGCTTACGGAGA